ACCACTTCTAAGGTTCTAAGATAGTCGCAGGAAGACCCCTAAGGCTAGATCCTAACTCCTACGAGAAATACTAGACCTCACAAAAATTGAGGTCAACACTAAGAAGACCCTCTCTAATTTTGTTTGACACTGGAGCTACGCCAACCCTATCACAGATATATTCATTTTGCATTTTGTCTCTAAGTTCCAACCTACTCACCCACCTAAGCATTCTCATCTCAGCAACACTTGGATTTGTTTTATGCTTATTTTTTAAAGGCAGACATTCTGCACCATAGAGCATTGCAGATCTCACCACCATCTTATAAAATTATCCTTTCAGTTAAAGGGATATTTTTCTATAACACAATAGGCCTAATGCATTCCTCTACTTCAACCAACCAACTTGAATTTTACTAATAACAACCCCATCTATATCAACAACACTTTGAAAATAAGCCCGAGATACCTAAAACATTCACATCTTTTAATGATTTGATCGCCCATAGTTACAACTCTGCACTAGAGTTATTACTACTAAAATTACATTCAAAGTATTCAATTTCATTTCTACTCAAACAAAGGCCTTTAAACTCCAATATTGACCTTCATACTTCAAGTTTTTTTTGAACTTTTTATCTAGTTTTATCCACAAGAAGGATATCATCAGTGAAAAGCATACACCAAGGTGCATCCTCCTGTAAATGTCCAGTAAGAGCATCCATATCTAAAACCGAACTCTGATTTAATCCAGCTGAAATGGGAAAATACTCCGTCAATTCTCCTTCTGTTCAAACACAAGTAATAACTATAATACACATATCTTTAATGACTTGAATATAAGTCATATCAACACATTTCTTCTCTAGAACTCTCCAAAGGACTTCTCTCGAACCTTATCATTAGTTTTTTTCTAAATCAATAAAAATCATATGTAAATCCCCCTTATTCTCTCTGAACTTCTCCATCAAACCTCTCAATAAATGTCTAACTTCCATAATAGACTTACCTGACATAAAATCCAAATTGTATAAAGAATCTTTGTAATACACATTAGCTTGTTTAATTAATCTTTCCCATAATTTTAAAGTATGACACAACAACTTAATTCCTCTGTAATTTGCACGCTCTTATGCATTCTCTTTATTCTTAAAAAAGTAGACCAAAAATCTCTTCTTTCACTACTCAAACATCTTTTTTTAGTTTTTAAAATAATTTTAAAAGAGTTTATTAAGCCAAGAAACTCCCAAATCTCCTAAATATTTTAGCGCTTCAATTGGGATATCATCAAGTCCAACTAACTTTTCACCCTTGATTTTCTTTAAAGCCCCCTCAACTTCATTTTTACTAATGCGACTGTAAAAATAAAATAGTTTATTATTATTAATGATATTAAAATCACTAAGGTCGATCGTATTTTCAGAAACTTTTCATTGAAAAGTTGATCAATATAGCCCACCCACGTATGTTGAATATCTTCTTCTAACAAAATCACTTTTTGATTTTCATCTTCAATACATTTTACTTGAATTAATTTTTTACTTTTATTTTTCCTTTATTTGACTAATTTATACATATATTTTCCATCATCTTTAGTATATAATCTATTATAAAGATCACTAAAAGCTGAATTTTTAGCATCATAAATTATTCTCTTAGACTCTCTATTAGTCACCTTATATTTTTCACAATTCTTTAAGTTTTTATATTTAAACCAATTTTTATAACACAACCTTTTGTATTTTATCTTTTCTTGCACATTATTATTCCACCACCATTAGTTTTTATTTATATAAATTTTTCCTTATAATTCTCCAAGTACATCTTTTATCACTTGTTTACTAATGTTTATTATTTTATCACACAGAATTTGCTTATTCATGAGCATCCAAAATCTTAAAATCTTAAAGTTTATACATAAAAATAATTTCATTCATCTTTTAAGTGCCATCATCTAATTTTATAATAATAATTCCTAATATAATATATTTTATTTTACAACTCTTCATCTTAAAATACAAAAGTAATAATCTGTTGAGTACTTAAATTTTCACTTGAAATGAGCTACAATTTGTGCATTCTCAACGATCCCTTCTCATAAGACAATAATAAATTTGAATTTTATTAGATTCATTCTTAAAATTAAAAATATATTCACCTCTTTACTTAAATTATTAACAATAACAAAATCATATGCTAAAACAAAATTTAATATGATTTAAATTTCTTTATTAATCACTCCAAAACCGTAGCCATCATGAATATTTACAAAATCTTCTTCCACTCTACCAACATGTTCATTTAAATCGCATCTAATAAAATTCTTTTTTCAAGAGGTATCATTTGTATTAATTCTTTTATACATTATATAATTTTTCTTAAGAACTTATATCTAAACCTACTTTGAGGAGCATAAACACTTATAGCATTAAAAAACTTAGCATCAACAACAATCTTAAAGGCTATAATTTTATTTAAATTCGATTAATTTTTATAACATTATCTTTCAAACTCTTATATATAATTACACCTACATCATTTCTTGTGCAAGTTACTTGAATGTCAAAGTTTAAAACCTAAGCTATCAATCTCGTTAGCATTTTCTTTAACACATTTAGTTTCTTGAATACATAAAATATTTATCTTCCTATAAACCATAAGAATAACTAATTTCATTAATTTACTTGTGAGAGTATCTATATTCTAAGATTTTATCCTAATATTAGTTTCATAAGCTAACTTCTTTACCTTCATCCGTCCTTAATGTGGGAACCTTTGCTTATTTAACACTACACCCAGACACCAGTGTCGCTTCCAGGAGACACCCTAAAATTTACACAAAGATTTAAGGGATTCATGTCATGATTTTTTTGACAAATTTTACGCTGGTTATCAACTACCTAACGTTTCACAATTTCATATCAAATGTAAAAAAAAACTACTAATTTCATATCCGAGGCTTGGGACCTGACAATGACAGTAATAAACTATTCATGCAGCCAATTAAAAAAAACCTACTACAAATCAAAAGTAAAAATACTCACCTTGCTTTTAGATGATTTCCTTAAGTTTTTTATCTGTTTTTCTTCAATGAAAACCTATAATCAAATGTGTAAGAAATTATTGTTAATTTATTATAGTTAACATAATTTGCCTTCATTTTACCTTTAATATATTTTATATAAAAAAAATCATTATTTTATTTTAAATAATATAATATATTTATTAAAATAATCTTATTATTTATTTAGTACCAACTTGATAGTAATTACATTATCATAATTTGATTATTATGATTCTATTAAATCTTTAAAATTCTATCAATTTAATTGTTAACAATATGAAAATTAACCTTAAATAAATTTAATCATAATCTTAAATATTAAGCCATTAACATTTAAATCTTTTCCTCAATTAATACATAACCTAATTTATTTTTCTTTTTATTGTGACATAAGTTCATAAAATTTAAACATCTTTTCATTTTGCTTTTTTTGTGACTTCAACTGGCACAAAACATATATTAACACTTTATTATAAATTCCACCAAAAATAAACAAAGAATTTATATAATTTAAACAACTTTAACTCACCTTCACTAGCTCGGTTAAGTTCTTGTACTAGTCACTTCCTCCCTCCTTCCTCTTATTCTGCTTGAACTTCTCTTCCTTCACACCGAACACAAATCGAGCCTCTCGTATGTGAGAAATGAGCTTATTCACAGCTACAGCCGTCTCGTTTGCCTTCTTCTCGAGTGGATGCATTCGACCTTCCCTCGCTCGACTTCAGTGTTGACAAACTTCTTCTCCTTCCTTCTTCCATGCCTCGAAACCAAATGTCTCCCTCCATCTCAACGGTTTTGCTGCTAGAATTACGCAAGAAACTTCTCTTCTCCACACCCTTCTTGCTCTCTTCTCTGCTTCTCTTCTTTCTTCCTCCTTCAATCTCTATTTACATCGTATGTCTTGACGCTTCGTTTCGGTTTCTAGTATATGAAACTCTTCACTCTAGTTTACGAATAATTGAAAACCGAGCGTTACACATAAAACACAATTCTTATGTATTTACATATCTAACATTTAAACATTCATATTTACATGCATACTACTCAAAAATTTAACATCACTTCAAAAATACCTCCATCGCCATCTTTTTAAAAGTGAAATACACATTTACTTGCATAGATTTTTTATTCCAAAGTGCAATAAGTGTAATATCAAACTTTGCATGTTAGATATGTAAATGCATAAGAATTTTGTGGGACGTATGTAAATTTCCCCAAGTGTAATAGTATGCCAAGATGATATCTTAGCAACAGAAAGCTTAAGGTCAAAAGAAATAACTTGCAATACTGGCCATGTGATTCAAGAAGCAATTGTTTAGAGATATCATCTTGTTCTTCTGACCTTAAGCTTTGAACTTTACACTTGATTAGAGATATCATTGTCGATGGTAAAGTTTGATTTTTTTAGGCAAACAAAATTTTGTTTAGAGATATCAACTTGGGCTGAGATAAGCCGTCCTGCACATCAACTAAATACTAAAATGCACAAAAATGTGTTTGCCTAAAAAATCAGACTTCTTAACTAAGTTATTTTGATCAGCAAGCGTCGACCAAACAGCCTGAATTCATCAGCCCAAAACCCTTCCTCACTAATCTCAATTATATACAAAGATTCGGTGGAAGAGCACTACATATAATTCTAAAGAATCTCGCCCAGAAAGAAAAAAAAATCATGCATGACTTCCAATTCTTCGATTAAATGAACAAATCCATCGAAAACCCTATCAACTCAGCTGAATGATGGCATTACTATCTTATCACAGAAACAGATCATCCCTGAAATACCGAGATTGCCACTATACTATCAGATAACCTAAATCATGGCACAGTGAACCTTTAGTTGCTCGACGGAATATCCCAAATCGAATGTTATTCACTAGGAAAACTTCTACTAAAAATGAAAATTACAGTGACCGGAAGAAAGTTGATTGTAAGGGGAAGAGCAGGCAACCCCCACCGATCCACCGCGCGGCAGTCGGAAAACTACTGCACTCCATTGGCTCGATGAGGGAGGGAAAGTTAAAGAGCGTATCGAAAACCGCCGCTTGTGAAGAAATTCGAAGGAGGAGCTCGCACAGGCGACGCTTTGCTTTCGAGAATAAAGGGACGATGTCGGAATGGCGACGGGAAGAAGTGCGGCAGCCATTGCTTCGAGAAAATGGCTTGCTCAGAGAGTACTATTATCCAGGTGGTTTAAACGTCATGAGTTAAATTGTTAGAGTATTATATAATATATGTATAACATTGTATAATATTATTATATATAGGATGGGGATGGATATGAATTTCACATGTAATAATTTTTATTTATTTTAATAATGATTTTGAGGACTTAATGTAATTAGGACACCTCTTTTCACTTGCATCGTTTGATCGATTCGATGTTTATATAATTAAATACATAGCTAATTAAATAAATAAATTATGAAAACAATATTAGTAAAATGAAAGAAGAGTAGTAGTGAACAAAAAACTAATTACATATAAATTGTTATTGTATGTGCATCTAAGAACTAAATTGATCTGAGGTCAATAATAGTAGACAATAATGAAGAGGTGTAAATATGTTTTATTTTACAATAGTTCTGATTATTTTCTGTTTTGGAGTTTTTATAGTAAATGTAAAAAAAAAATATGTTTTTTTTATTATAAATTCAAGAAAAATGAATAAAAAATGATATATGCATGCAAATATACAAGCGCTGTGGAGTGCAATCTAATAATTATTTTAGTTTGATTTTTATTTTTATTAGATGTAAATTTTTTAATATAAACAATCAGTTGTAAATATATCTTTATTAAATAGATTAACTCTTTTGTGCTTTGAATTTTATTTTTTTGTAAAATGAAATAGTTATATAGGTTTCCTCCGTCCAACCAACAGTTCCCGTTTTTGTAATTCCAAACTTCCGGCCAGGTTGTGACACTAAAATTGGATTTAAATGGAAATTTTTAATTCTCATGATTATGTTTACATTAAGTTCAAAATTTATAATTTTGGAAAAAAAAAAATTTAGTTGGTTTGAGATAAACATTTTATTTAGATTTTTTGTAATTTGAATCTTAAATATCCATTTGTGATTAAGCACAAATTTTGAAGAAAAATATGCATATCAAACAATTCAAAAGATTTGAACTAATATCAAAATTTACTTGGCATGGTCAAATCTAATATAATGTAAGTTTATAGCAGTGTATTAAAGCCCCAGTAAGAAGTGACACGCCATTAAGTCCATACATATGAATAGCTCACATGAAAGGGTAAGTGGTTCTTTCTTTTGAACTAAACCAACTCACTCTGACAATTTTTTTATTCATTAGAGTTGTGTGCTTTCGACATGTGACTTGTGATTACACATAAGGGAGCCAAAGTTTTGCCATCATTTTCGACAGTGACTATTATTGCCCATAGTGCCTATTGGGTCTTCGAGCTCGCCTCATTATGAGCATTACATTGGCGCCGTCAATCACACTTAGATGCGCAAAAGAGTCGAGCTGACTAACGGGCCAGCAAGAGCTCGACTCAATAAGTGGCTCGTGAGCCGTTCGATGTCCTAGCGCTCCAAATGCAAGCCAACCCACGACTCAACCTATCAACTCATGAACCAGCTCACTCATTTATAAAAATATAAATATAAAA